CCCCCTTGACTTCCCTCATTCACCGCCATGTCGCTGAAAAGCGGCGTGGTTCTGATGCGCATTGTTGTTTCCACCGCAGTCTGCTCGAGTTGTTGTAGCACTGGCAGCAGATGGGCTTCCACATCAACTGCGCTGCCTGCTGTCGTTCGAAAAGCGCCCGTGATTGCGCAGCCTCAAATGCCCTGGTCGCCCACCTGCCACCCCACAGCCTGGTTGCCTGTCGTTGGTGCCTGACTTGTGCCACGCCAAAAGACAGGCGGCCAAACCACCAGAAAGCTCTTTTCCTTAGCTAGTTAGAGTACAGTATTTAAATACTGTAAGTACAGTAAGTGGCAGTGGTAGCACTGAACCGACCGTACCAGCAGTCAGGACAGGCATTTATCAAATGCATCTACGACTCGATAGAGGAACTGATCGACAAAGGAAACGTTGTCGCGGTGGTGTGGGAGTCGCCGGACAAGAATAAGTTGTTACAAACGGCCAAAAGGCAGGCAAAGGCAGCGACAGAGCAAGGGGCATTGCCACAGGCTTCGTTCCCACTCATGAAATCCACATTGCTGAATAACGAGCAGAGAAAGCTTAGAGGCGAACGAAGCATACCCGAAGGAGTAGAACGATCCTTTAAGGCAATTGATACGGGTCATGGGCAAAATGGCCTTCCCCAAATGATTCACCCACTTGTTGTAATTTGAGCCTCCACCTACCAACCGGCAGGTCCAAACCAGCACTATGACCGCAAGAAAAAAGCTTGATGATGCTTAAAAGGGCCAGAATCGGGTTTATCTTCACTCTGAGGTTCGTTTCAAAAAAATCGGTCGCACGAGAAACTGCGTGCGAGACTTTAGCTAGGCGGCATGGATCTAACGTGGGCACATGATTGCTGTGTACTGCGCACGAAAAAATGCGTACGAGAAATTACTGAACACGCCCACTTTTGGACGGGCGCATTTCGTGCGAGACTTTTCGTACGCAGCACTCCGCAGATTGACTTGACTTGACTTTATTCATAGACTGTCCCAGCCGCCTTCGTCGAGTTCAACCTATGAACTGATAATAAGTGTGTGTTACTATTCTAATATTACCGGTGCAGCTGCATCTACTTATAGTTGCTGTAGGCTGTGCGACAGTGCCTCAGGCATAGCTGCTGCCTAGTAGGCAGCAGCTACCCCTGTCAAGTATGATCTAGGATCCAACTTCGAAGCAGCTATGCAGCGTTCTATCTACCTACAGATA